GTTCTCCTGGTTTATATTGCTCATTATTGTTTCAAACCCAGGTCCTCTACCATCCCCAGAGATGAGAGGGTGGGACTGAAAGTTCTAATCCTTTAGTCACATGATTTACTCTCTTGAGGATAGCCAGCCCCTCCTTAGCTGGAGGTAGGTATCCAAAATTTTTCTCTAACATAACTAAGGAAAATCACCCTCTAAACTTAACAATGACCAGGGTTTTAGCAGCCAGGAGCCAAGTACAGGAGGAACACCAAGTACATATATGAGAAATACATTTTGGTCATTTGAGTGACTAATTGTATTTTCTTATCACAGTATCACAAGGGAGAATTGATATATTTACGTTTTTTTCAGACCATGAACATGGTATACATATTTTTTTCCTGTTATTTCTATCACTGTTGGCATTTTAAAGTACATTAAACCATCATGCTTTATAGGTTTATCCTTAGGTTTGTTTTTTATTGCATTTTATAAATTGTTTTTACTTTTGTGGGTATTTAGACATACTTTTTTGTGTTTGTTGAATTCTAATTGCTTGTCTATATTCTGTTAGTATGTGTGTTAGTATATAGTATACACACATGTGCACACATAGACACAGGCATGTTGTCTGACACGTAGCACTTTTAATACATACAGGTCATATAGGTCTTAAGGCTTTTATTTTATGCCTTATTGAATGATATAGACTGGTAGTATATTGTACTAAGGAAGAGTAGTGATAGAGGGCTTCCTTATCTAATACTATGTATCAGGAGAACTGCTTCATATACTTCACCATTACAAATGTTGTTTGCTGTAGGATTTTGGTAGATACTCTTTATACATATAAGTAAATGACCTCTAGTATCTTCACTCACTTTCTCCCTGCCTTCGTCCATTTTCCCACTTCAATCCTCTTTTCATCTCCATCTCCCCCCCATCTTCCTTTTCTTAAGTCCCCATTTGGGTTCTGTTTTGCCTACTTTTATATTTTTCTTTCTCTTTTAGGAGGGGTAAGCTGGCTTCATTTATTTAATCAAACATGCCTCATTTTCTCCCCTGATGTTCATTATACATTCTTTTTTTCTGTATTATTTTAATACTGTACTTTGTATATATAAACATATATATCTAAGCATATATATGTCTATATGTACATTAAATATTCTTTATATCATACTGTACTTGATGAAATATTTTTTGGAGATTATAGCATGTTTTCATTTATCCTATCTTTTGCATTATTGCTTCTATACATTTTCATTCCTTGGATTTTAAACACCATATTACTTGATTTAACTCTTCCATGTTATCAATATTGATTTATCTTTACCTTTATAAAAATCATTTGTATAGTTGCTCTTTTATTCTTTCCATATATATTACTTTGCATAATCAGCTTTGTGAGATGATTCACATACAACATGTGTAAATTTAACATTGACAGCATGTTGATTTGATACACTTATGTATTGTAAAAGGATTATCACCTTAGCATTAACACCTCCATCATCTCATAATTACCTCTGTAGTATTTATTTTAGAGAAAATCTGCTGGTTCAGGATTCTGTTTCAGTGTGAAAATGTTTTTAATTTTTTCTTCATGTTGGAGAATTTTTGTCTGGTACATATTTATAGATTTTTCAGTTATTTTTGCCAGCACTTTAAGATTTTATTCTAACATTTTTTGTTGACGTTAGCTCTAATTTTAACTCTTCTATTGCTTGTTTGAAGGCAGTGTATTCTTCTCCTCATTTCCCTGCATATCTTAAATTCCCTTTCTTTAGTTCTTATCAGTGAAACTGTGTTTTAATGTAATTTAAAAAAAAAAGATTTATTTATGCATACGGAACTGGGATATAGGCCAGCGGTTCGGGGAGGGGTGTTGAAAGGAATCACCTGACACAGAGTGGGGAGCAGACCAGCAGATTGACCTGCTGAGGGGAGCAGCGGTGAGACAGGAGAGGTCTGCTGTGCCATGTCCTTGGTGAGGCATGAAACTCTTGCTGAAGTGACTGTAGCTACTTCAGAGTGCTGCGCTTTAACCCATTGCCCCACCCTGTTTTAGTGTAATTTTACTTTTCTTGCTTGAGGTTCTTGGAATTTCTTAAATCTGTTTGTTTTCACTTATATGAAGTTCTGTTGAAATCTGTTGAAGCCCTGATGGCACAGCGGGTTGGAGCATTGCACTGAGAAGCTAAGCCAAGGCGCGGCTGCTTCAGTGTGAGTTTGATTCCTGCCCCAGAGGTGATCCACATGGTACAGCAGACCCCTTTTGTCTAGCCCGCTGCTCCCCTCAGCAGTGTACTTTGTCTGTCTGCCTGTTCTGCTTCTGGTGAATCCTCTCGCTGGTGCTGCACCTCTGAGCTGCATCCCATTTCTGTATGCATAAGTAAATAAAGTCTTTAAAAAAAAGTCTCTTTGACATTGCTTCTGCCATGTTCACTCTTCCTTTGCTTTATCTTCACATGTTTTTAATTGATCTTCTCTGGATTTCCTTTTTTGTTTGTTTTAATGTGTATGGTTTTTCATTTGGATATTCTCTATTGGCCCTTTATCAATTCAAACCTAATTTCTACTGTTTAATCTCTTCCTGTTAATTCCATTTAATGAGGATAATTTTAGATGTTTCTGCTATAGAATATTATTTGATTCCATTTTATAAAATCTCAGTTCTCTAGTGAAATTTTGTACTTGTTTATATATTCTATCTTTTCCTCTTTTTTGAATATGTTAATTATTCACTTGTTAACTTCAGTATGTAGGTTGCATGTTTGTTTAGTTCTGTTTTCTTTTTTTTTCTTGGTATTTGGTTATATGGTCTGGTTTCTTGGTATCCTAGTTATTTAAATGCTGGAATTTAAATGCCTTCACAAATTGGATACTCCTGAAGATGATATATATATATATATTTTTAATAATATAATAGGTTTATTTTTACATCATTTTATGCATTTTTTTTCATTTCAGTTATAATCCCTGTGGACTTCCCATCACCAAGTCACCCATGTGCCATCACTACAGTCCAGTGCATTTCCTTCCCCCCACTGTTTTTGATCCCATCCCACACTCCAGCCCCATAAAATGTCTTTGGTATATAGCTGTTCATTATTATTATTATTTTCTCACCTGCTCTGTTATATTCCTTTTATGAGTGAAACCATCTGGTATTTTTCTTTTTCTTTCTGGCTTATTTCACTAAGCATGATGAAGATGATATAATATATTATTATACTGTGTTGTTTTACTAAATTATGAAAAACTCTAAATTGAGAAATACATTTGCTCTTGAGATTTTTGGCCAAGTAGACCTGTACTTCAAAAGGGCTTGCTATATGAGAGGGGAATATGTTGGTAAGTAGACATGGCTCATACTTCATTGAGCAGGTATCAGGAGGTCCTGGATACCTAGTTTAGGTAACCCCAGAAATAGAGATTGCCACATGTATGTCAGGGACTTCATTCTTAGAACTATCACTGTATGTGTATGTTCCCAGTTTTAACTGTTTCTAAGGTGAAAAAATATATTTTTAGAATAATTGGGATTATAAGTAACAAATCACTGAGGAAAAAAAGAACCCCAATTTTAGGTAAAAGGAATGCTATGTATTACCAAAGCATGTTAAACATAGTTGAACATTTGTGTAGAGATACCCAGTTTAAATATGAGAAATGCATTAAGAGCTTGTATAGAAGAAAACCTGGCTTAATATGATTATTTGATTCCATTCTAGCTATAGTTGTGATTGAGAACTTCTAATCATTTTAACAAATCACTGCATAGTTGCAGTTTTGGTTAGCAGTTTTGGTATTTTTGCTTTTTAGCATGTTTAGAAAATAAACTTATTTAGGATTTTTATACAGAAACATTTCACTTTAATTAGTTTATTGCCTTTTTTTCCCCATTAAAAACCTGCAGTTCTTTCCTTTTTGGCAAAGTGGTTTTTTTAAAAGATCTGTAATTTTGTAACTTTTGAAATGCATTCCTTGTATACTTTGGTAATGACAAACATTTATTTAATTAAAAATATGTTCATTAAGAAGTATTTTTAGCCTTTTAAATAACTGTCAGAAAACAGTGTATGTCCAGTATCTTTTGGCTTTAATTGCCAAGGAAACTTAAGCAGCCTTCCTTTCAGACTTCCTATTCCCATCTAGTTTAATGTGGCATTCTATTTAACAAGGAAAATTCATATGTTGATGCCCCCTTGTGGTCTGTTACCAAAATAAATAACACAAATAGAAATAAGTAAGGGATACTTTTAATATATGTTAAATCATTCCTTCCTTTACAAAGTAAGTTTTTAAAAGTGTCTTCTGAGGCAGACCAGCAGTTGTTGTTTATTGACTTTAAAATTTATCAGTTAGTTTAACCTTTTTTTTAAAAAAAGATTTATTTGTATATATACACATACATACATACAGAGGTGGGGTACAGAACAGAGGTGCGTGGGTGGTGAGATGATTCACTAGAGACACAGTGGGGAGCAGAACAGGCCTACTGAGAAGTATACTGCTGAGGGGAGCAGTGGGCTGGTCAGAAGAGGTCAGCTGTGCCATGTGGGTCAGCTCTGGGGTGGGGATCGAACTCATGCTGCAGTGGTTTTAGCTTCTTAGTGCTGTGCTTTAACCCATTGCGCCACAAAGGAGGGCCCAGTTTAACCTGTTGCAATAGAATGTGCAAATAAGTATTAGTTGGACAACTAAGTTGTTGGGTTTATTTATCACAATGGTAATTGTTATCTTAATCTATCCTGACTAATTTAAATGCCTTCAAAATAGGATGAGATATGAGCATAACTAGCTCACTTCCTATGTAGTTTTCTACACGTGCGCACGCGTGCGCACACACACACACACACACACTCTCTCTCTCTCTCTTGCTCATGACTTGTGGGAAATTTGTTGTCTGTACTTAGTCTATACTTAGTATACTTAGTCTGTACTTGAAAGTAAAATTGGAATATAGACTTCTTATTAATGAATTGGTGAATTCAAACTCATTTGCTTGTACGACCATGTTGGTGGGGTCTTGTTTGTGTGTTGAGTGGGTTTGAGAAGTAGAGGCCAAGTAGCAGTAGCAGTCAGTGTCTAAAAGAAAGTGCATATGTAAACAACTACTTTTCTCACTGAGCTACCTGATGACTGGAAGCAGTTCAGTACAGTGAGTTTGGGCTTTGAGATAAGATAGAGTTGGTTTTAAAACTTGATAGTTCACTAATAGTTGTATAATAATGGGTAAGTTACTTCATCTCTTAACACAGGTTTCCTTTCTTTAAAAAGGTGTTAAAGTGTGTACTTGAAAACTGTTTGCAGCTTGATTCTCATCATGGTCTTAACCTATCCAGCTGCTGCCTTACTCTCTTGGTTAGTGCAGTTTTGCATTGAAAAATGCGTATTGTAAAGATTTTGTAACTGGGTTTGTTGGTAAAGATTCTTAGTGATAGGATTTTTTTTTTAATAATATATCTTAACAATAGGATAATAAACTTGCTTAGTTCTTTTTCTTTATTGTGTACTTAATGCTGTAATGCTGTTCTACCACATAAGTACTCTTTATTTAGGAGTTGCTTGCCACATGTGTGATCATATTGTATTGAACAATTTATTTGGTCAGTTTAATAGCTTGAAACCCACTGGCCTATTTTTATTAAAATAGTACAGTAAAAGTTCTTAGGAGTGATAGTTCATGTTTTGGTGGGTTGAACTAGAAAATACAAATTGGTAGTGTTCCTTGATAGCCATTTTGTTTAAAGAAAGATTTTTGTGGACAAAGTAGTGGGGTAATTTTGTTGTTTTGCTTTGGTTTTCAACAAAGCTAATGGTACTAGGCTCACTATCTTACAAGTCACTTTTCTTATTTAATACTTAAGGGAATTAATTTGAATCAATTTTCAGAAGAAATAAGATTATTTGGAGTTATTTAACTTAACAGAAATATAAGTGTATTAAAAACCCAGAGACATCCAACTCTTAAATCAGAAGATTTTCTTCCTACTAAACTTCTTCAGCTAAGTTGTAGAAATAGGCTCATTTTTTCTTTTTCAATAACAAGAAAATAACAGTATCTTGAAATGTAAATACAGATACTTGGGTTCTAATGATTTTTGGAAGTAGGTAGCCTTCAAGTCATATCAATTAAACTAACAGGAGACATAGCACTCCACAGGGCTTCCGTATACTTCATCTCTGCCTCTTTTACCTTTTTTTTTTTTTTTTTAATTTCTTTGGCTCTCAGATTATCTAGCCTATATTTGGAGAGTGCCTACCTGAAATCTCTGTTCTAAATCCTGTGTGTAACTACTAACAGCTTTGATGGCAGTTAAAATTTCTCATGTAAATTATGAATTGGATTTTTGTTGTTTTATCCTTGAATATCTGTTCTTAGGGAGACTATTATGGGAAAGAAAAGGAGCGGGGTGGGGGGGAGAGGTTGGAGGAAGATAGCTCGGAAAAATTGGAGTGGAGACTGCTGGGTGGGGTGAGTGGTAATAGCAAGAACACATGCATTCTACCAGGGACTTGTTTTTTAAACATAAGAAGCATATGTGCCAAATTTACATATTTACTAATTAAAAAGGCTTCCTGGAAACATTAAGTAGACTATCTTCTGTAACCTTTAACACTGTCACTAATGGATATTGCATAGAAAATTTCATCGAAGGTCCTTTAAATAATGTAAATGATTATGAATATGTAACTAGTTAATATGCAGCTACGAAAGGATTATCATGTAGAGGTTAATGAACATTCTGCTCTTATGGTTTGCAGGGCTTTTCTTTCTGTGCTTTTGGCTCGCTTCATGCTTGGAAACACATGCATTGGGATTGGAAAGCATCCTGTTTTTGGGTTTCATTTTTTAATGTGGCTGTTAAATAGGAACTTTATAAAAAGGATTCCATGAAAATTTTCTTTTTCAATTTGTATTTAATTCTGTTTGTCTATTTCGTAAATACTGCCAAGTCAGAAACAGTAAAAATGGATTGATATAGTGTTAGCCTGGCTCTTCCAGATGTAAAGTCAGTACTCTATTATGTATTACCACTATTATTAAGTGTTGCTATGTGATTGATACTTACTGAGAGATCTTCATTCTAAAACGGACTTTTTATGCTGAGTTAATGTGTAGTATGGTTGGGTATCTGATTACAGCATGCATTTTGGTACAGGACTGCTGCCTTAGTATTTAAAATGTCCCAAAGGAGGACCTTTTTTTTTCAGGAATTAAATGTTGTAATAGAGGAATTTAGTGACAGTTTGGTGAAACATTGAAATAATATTCATTTGTAGAACTGTGTATTTCAAATCAGATAATATTGCAGTCTTTTTCATATAGCCTAGAATAAGCATTTTGACTTTTATCCTTGAGTTTCTCATTCTCTAAAATGATGCTACCTTATTTGAAAGTACGTAAAATTTTTTTATTAATGGACAATTTAGAAACCATTTATAATCGTTGAAAACTGATTTTTAAAATTGCTATCCAAATGTTCTTTTTCGCCCCTTATGGCTAAGTGTTCTTATTTCTTTAATGAACATTCTGAGAATCCATTAAAATATCTTTAAGGAAAACAAGTAACTTTTGTGTTTAATTTCATTGTTTTAATATTAAAAGCAGTTTGAGCTGGCTACATAGTACCTAAAATTTTATCATAACTCATTGAGACTGTTCAGAGCATCTCTTTATCCCAAGTATTTCTTCTTGAAAATGTAGTAGAAAAATATCACTGAGCTCATTTTTTTAATGTGTCGGAATAAAAATTACAGGTGAAAACATTTGGAGATACACTGACAAAATATTTTTGCTGCTGTCTTTTTTTAAACTGATGAAATGTAGATATTACATTGTTTTTTTGTTATTTATAACATTTGTGTATTCTACAAAATATGTAACATTGAAAAAAATGTCTGTAGATTGTACAAAATAGTAGTTATCTTATATCATATGTCACCTAATAGTTATGAAGCAGGTTTTGTACCAAAGTATGAATTGGAAAGCTGCAATTTGTTCTGCAGTTATCAGCTTGCATTAGAGGGTTATGATAAAGTGTGCTGCTTAAAAACTAACATTCACATCTCTGTGCATTTGACAAATAAAAATGTATACTGAGTTGCTATTAAATCTGTAAATCCACTGTTCTAGTTTTCTGATACTCTGATTTTGCAGCTTTTGCTTAGCCCTGTTTTTTTTCATGAGTAGTTATCTGTTTTCATGACAGGTGGTCACTAACTGCCAAGAGAAAATCCAGCATTGGTGAGTGAAAGACAATTTTATTACTTTTTTGAAATACTGATGGGGTCATCTACTTGTATTTAGATGAAGTGTGTACTGGTTTTTATATAACTGGTAATTGAATTCTTCTAGCAATCTCCATATTGAATGCATTTGGTACTAATTTATATTGTCTTTCACCATTTTTACATGTTCTCTGATTTCCTAAAGCTGTGTCATTGTTTACTTTGTTTTTAAGTTAGTACAATATTAGTGTCATTATGGAGTGGAGGCTGAGATGCTTTTGAACCTGACTAATCCATAGCTCTTATTTTGGGAATATTTCTTATATTTGTATAGAATAATAATAAAATTGAGTTTTAAAAGAATGATAGAAATATATATATAGATATATATATGTACACACACACACATACACATACATGTATGTCTTTACTTAGATGCCTTCCCCCAAAGTTTGAAAAATCTAATGGCCCACATCTCAGAGCTTGCTTTACAAGACTGCACTTTTTTAGAGTGCAGAGAGAAATAAACCATTATTTTAATGTGCTAATCTATAGTTAATATAGTCACTGCTTAGTAAATAACACATATCTTTTGAGGAATACGCTCAATTTAATGGTGAATAAAATATTATGAATTGTTATGAGGTATAGCTGTTGATCTTACACATATCAAATTACAATATATCCATGCTGTGTTTACAAAGATTTTACGGAGAGAACAACAGGAGCTGTCTTGATTATTGTCTGAGGGTTATTGCAAAATCATGGTAACTGCCCCTTTAGTGGTGAGATTAAACCTTTGGTTATACACTATCAAGCATATAATATTTTAAATTTATTTTAAGAGCTTTTTCTTCATGCCGGAGAGATCTCCAAGGAAGTAATTTATAGTTAGTGCGTATCAGATGTTTTTTTTTGTTGTTGTTTTAAAGTCTGGAAGCAGTGAAAGTACAGATCAGTACAATCTGTACACATCATTTTATTAAATTCTATTACCTGGCAGAGAATAATTTAACTTAATAATACCCATTTTATAAATGAAAATCCAGGGACTTCATTAATTTTCAATAAATGCAACGTGTAAGTTGTATCCACTGGTGTTGTAAGTCTGTCAACATTTCCATAAGGAAATTTGCTTTTCATTATACATTCAGGCCAGGTTAAAACTTGAAATGCAAGTCCTTGGCCAAATAAGTTGACCGAAGTGATCCATTTTTTCCAAGTAATTTTCAGGGAAAGTTTTATTAAATTGAACTTTTATTTATTGGTAAGGAATTCAGGAAATTAAAAAGCAGTTGTATTCACTCAGAACACATGCTAATTTACATAAATGTGTGAATAACAACTTGCTTCTGAATTTTTCCCTAAGATTCTTTTAGATTGAGAGTATCAGTCAGACTATGGGGGCCTGGTTTCATCCTTTTATCCACAGCACCTCCTACTTTGTTTGGCACATTTAGGTACTTTAGAAATGTTTGAGTAAATGAAAACCAAGCATATAATTATTTTGTATATAACATTTTAGTTTACAAATACTATTGCAAAGCCCAAGTTTGAGCATTGACACAAATGTGATACTGTCTTTAGGTTCGGTTCATGTGACTCTCAATCTCAAATTTCCAGTTTTCTGATGCTCTCCAAACTACAGGAGCTAAGCATATTTGCCTACAAATATCTTAATGTATGTTACATTACCTGTACTTTAAAAAATTAAAGTAATTTTTATTTATAAACTAATAATTAAACATGAAAATTTTAAAGCTAAAATTTGCTTTTTCCTGAGTCATTTTTAATACAACTTTTTGTTTTTTAATGAAGATGGGATATTGCTAGAATCTAAATGGCTAGTGTACTTAGCAATTTATTGTATTCAAAAGCTGAAACCATAGAGTCTCCATTCCTCTGAAAGCCAGGAAATTGCTGTTTGGAAGCATTGTGGAATTCTGTGGTATTTCATTCTTTTATTCCACAAAGGTTGAGTTCCTACTGTATGTCAGTATTATGCTGCTGTTTGGAATTGAAAGACCCTGCTATGTAGGAATTCATAGTTGGATACCGAAAGGGAAATCACAATAATTTTGTGCTATTTGCAGAGATAGGAACCAAGAACAGAAGCTGGAACCATTCTTAAAGGTGTCTCATACACTGCTTTTTAAAGAATGTTGCTTTTAATTTTTCTTTAACTCTTGGTATTCTGTGTTCCCTTTGTCTAAAATATAATTCATTGAACTCAGATCCTCTTCTGTATGACTTCATTCCAATGTAATGAGATTAAAATATTTGATTTTTTAAAGATTCATTCTTATGTTAATGAGCTTATTTTTATTTGTGTGATTTTGAGGGATTCTTTTATTTAAGGAAAAAATAATGAATAGTCTTGAAAAATAATATTAAAACATTTTTAATGTGGAACAAAAAGTAAAAGTATTTGTAGAAAACTAGAACCATGACCTGAAGCAAGAGGATCTACCTCCTGAAATTTCCTCCAGAAAATTCAAATCCACAACCTTGAAGACAGGATTTGCTTAGTTAATAAATAAGAAGGAAAAGTTTGAGCCTAATAGTTTGTGAGTAGTGCTTTTCAGTTTTGTGAAGATTAAAAACAATTTTAAAAGTACAAAAGACACTATTTTCTTATTAAAATGTGAACCTGCTTCCCATTGTTTGAGCCACTAGGGGATGATTATTCTGTTTGTAGGCGATTTGTAATTTTTTATCTTTTAAAATTCTTCTCTAAAGAGCATAGCATTTGGAGTCACAGACCTACATTTGAATCCTGTCATTTACTAATTTTGTAAACTTGTGAGTTAGTAAGATTTCTGTTACCTTTTCTTGTAAAGTGATGATGATAATACTTAAAGATCAAGTGAGATAATAGGATAATGCCTGTAGGTCAACCCAGACTGGCACTTAGAAAATATTAACAGTAACTGAAAGACTTTTTGGAAATTTTAATTGTTAGATGAATAAAAAGAAACAAAGCCACTGGAAGTTTTGTAAATATTCCTGAATAATTTGTATTCATGCCATGATATCTTTTATCCTGATTTAACTTCAAGTTAGATATTACGTGGTTTAAAATTAAGAAGTGGTGTGTTGTTTCCCTCTTAACTTCCATTGTCTCTCAATTTTCCGTTCTCTTCGTAAAAACAATTATTTTACCAGTTTTATGTAAATCCTTGCAGAAATTGTTTGCGGAAGGGTATTTGTATGTATTGTGTATTTATTCATCCACTTGTTTATATATAACATGTGGATGTTAATTTAAAAAATGAAATCAGAGTATACAATATTGACTTAATACTATTTCTTGAGGATTATTCTCAATTCTTTATTTCATTCTCATAAATTTCACTTATGTCAGATCTCAGTGTTTAGGGTTATCAAATAGGGTGCTGAGTTTTTGAAAAATAGTGGCCACATTTATTTTCTACACTCAAAATACACCCTTGCTAAATTGTTATCTGCATTACTTATTCCTTCTTAATATAATTACTCAAAGCTACTGTTTAAAAGAATCACCACTTGCACATGATTCTGTGTGTGTGCATAGTTGGCGGGTGTCAAGTGTGGCTGTGTTCTGCTAGTCTTCTGAGTCACTCATCTAGGTACAGTGTATGGTGCCTGTACCCGCTGCCTTGTCCACAAGGGGCTTCCCTCACAAGTCTGGTGGCTAGTTGCTAGACTTCTTTCTTCACATTCTCTGACTTAACTTTACATGATGATCTCAGAGCAGCAGGAGAGGAAACTGCAAGGTCACACTGTGTTGGCCAAGTCAATTTATAAATCCCGCTTAGAGTCAAAGGTGGGGTAATAGACTTCATCAGTTGGTGGGAGGCCTCGTCATTTAAATGTTTACAGAGTACATCTACTGAACATGTCCCACAAGAAAAAGTGAGAGTCATTACTTGTGTTGTTGATTGGTGAGAATTAAATCAAATATGGCATTTCATTAAATGAGATGTGACACACACACACCATGTGTATGTTTGGTACTATTTGTAATTGCAAATTGTGTGCATATGTGTTGTAAAAAATTTGTTTAGCTTCCTTAAAACCCTTAAGAGTTTTAAGTAGTAAAGATGTTTGAAATTACCTGAAATAGACTTAAATGAAAATATAGGAGAAGTTATTTTACAAGTTTAAATGTTTCATTTTGGATTGGACAACTTCAAGTTCAGGTAAAAAATATTCTGAACCACTTGAGTGGGACTTTAAAACAAGTAACTTGACATTTATTTTTCAAAGGAAAATCGACCAAAAATACTGACTTGACGTAATTATTTTCCAGTGTAGCTTTATAGTCAAAGTATGTGGTGTAACTGAGCACAGGCCAGTGTTGCTGATTTTTCTTTTTTAATTCCTCTTTCAAATCAGGATGATGGATGGGTATCTATATCTGTATTTCTGCTTGATGACTTAGGGATTCTTTACCCCACATAAGCAGAGAATTGTTTGATCTTTACAGTATATTTCTTATGCACTACCTGAAACAGTGTTTTCCTGACTTGAGCTTTATTAGGAAATCATATTTTTCAGAGCCCCCATTTTATGAAATGTAGATTGTTGAGTCATCATTTTGTGTAGGACATTCTGTTTGGGCTTTTTATTTTTATTTCAATTCCTCCTGCCTCCCCAAGAGCAGAGAGCAACTTCCAAACCTTCTAAAGATTTTACATTGTTTTGTGGTTAGAATTTCTGTCGTTATTAATGACCTTAGGTTAAGGGCAGGAGGAAGGAATCATATACAGATTTTATTCTCTATCATTCTTCAAGCCCTATACAGGTTTTTATTTTATTATTACTATTTTTTTTAATGGTATGGTGTTTTCAGTATATGGGTTAAGGGAGTTGAGTAAACTTTGAAACTTTTGTGTGTAATGTTTACAAAGAAAATAAAGATGCCCCCCCAAATTTAAGTTGAATGTTCTAAGAATGATTTTTCAAAAAATGTGAAATAGGTTTAAAAATTTTTCATTCTAAATATAAAATGTATATAAAATTACATTTATAGAA